AGGGACCCCGATCAGTGGCTTATACAGTATTCTTTTCTTTACTAAAATGGGTTAGATATGACAAAAAAGATAAGTCCTAAGTGCGATGTTTTTCAAATAATCCCTACAGATATATATATATATATATATATGAAAATCAACTCATTTTATCGGGTCCTAATTTTCTATATATATAATTAATACGGGATTCTTTATTATCAACCAAATTAGTCTCACAGATCGATGATCGATGATTAACTCCAGAATGTTGATCATGTGATTTTCTCTAGATATAATATGTACACATACAAAAAGTTTTTTACGTTTCCGCCCTATAGAAAAAATTACATGGTCGACCTCTTGAGAGTCGAGTTCAGAATCGACAGGGTGGAGCGAACCGTTCGCGAGAGTCGAAAACATTTAAATCCGTTGGATCATAACAGCAAGATGATTTCGAACTCATTCTATAATTCACTGTATTTAATATCATAAAATACAACATAGTTTCCTACATCCTTCATTTATACGTGCAAAAACGATGGGTGGGCTTGATGATAGAGTTTTTGCACTGCACGATCGTATTCAGATCGTCTGCAGATTGTATTTGTAATCGAAGCGAGTTAACTCGTCAATTCGTGTCGCTTGTGACGCGAATGTGATATCGCCTTAGCTCGTAGAATCTGAGAAACTTGAAATGCAATTGTTTCCGCCGCCGCGTGGGTGGAAACTGGAAAGGGACTCGTCGATCTCTCGCAAAAAGATGAATAGATCCGTGATCAGACTAGAGATTGAATTGAAATTTAACCAATCGAAGCAAAGTTCACTAAACTTGAAATTGGTTTTCTTTATTCTGTGATTGCAGGTTAAATTTTAATTCAATCTCTCCATCTCATTTTCTAGTTTGATTACAACTTAATAAGCGCGTGCGAAAAGAGCAAAACGCTGTCGTTCGAGATTCGAAATATATGCTCGACGAAATATGCCCGTGTAATCCTTGACAAATGGTTCGTCGGGGATCGGGGATTTCCCCTGATCGCCTATTCTCATCATCAGAGTTTCAATATCTGAGCCAATCACGGTGCGTGACCGAAAGACAAGTCGAGCAACCGCGGAAACGACGTATTGTATTAGGATGATATTTTATTTATGCATTTTTGTTATACGACAAATTTTTCAAGCCTGTTGATTGACTATGGGATAGAGAGATCCGAGGATCTTTCTGCGTTCTGTACATATTTCATAGGACAGAAACGCACAAATGAAATAGCATCCTTATATATTTCCCGTCTTCGTCTTTTCGTTTCGATGAGAGCTGTATCGCCGTAATTCGATAAAAAACGAATCATGCTTTATTCACTTTGATCTCTTGATGTCTTGACGTAGAATCAATTGCGACCATTAAATATCGTAGACGTAATGCCGAAGACATTTTCCAATTGTTCTATCGCAGATATATTCGCACTCGCGTTCATATATATGCGTAGTACATAACAATAGGATATACAATAGGATATTGTGATTCCACATGGAAACAAGTATATTTAAAATGTTTTATTAAAAATTTAACTAAAGATACATATCTGAAAATAATTTTGTTCGACTATCAAAATAATTATATAGGACGTTCAGGCTGATTGCTAGACTATGTCATAATCTTTTGCAGTATTATGCTTTCTACAGTATTCTGCAGTTTTAATGATCCAACAAATTATTTCTATTATAAATCTGTATTATATAATAATAATATTGTATTTATTAGCTAATTTTTTTTTTAATAAAATATTTGAGTAAAATCATTCTTTCCGTGCTTGAACCTTTTATTTTATCTTGTTATTATTTTATTATTTTATTATTATATAAAAAGTTTATGTTATTATTTTATTATTATATAAAAGAAACATGGCAAAGATCTGTTGAAGGAGAATTACTCGTTGTCAGACGATTATTCATATTTATATGGTAAGTGTCTCGATGCCAAAATGTCTTCCGCATTCGCAAAAATGGAAAAAATGAGAAAGGATATATTTCTCCTCGCAATCATTTGTTGCTCAACCAAATTCTCATCAAGGAAAACTTGAGTTTCTTCTTAGAAATCGAATTAGTAAAATAAGCTTCGTGAGAGCAGGATCCCATTAGCACATGACAGTCACGTCATGTGAATGACACTCTTTATTATATTTCCCCCCCGAAAGCGCCCCGTCATTCAAATATAAATGACACTAAATTTCCGTAATGTTTTACGACAGAAAAAGAGTAAAAAGAAACGTACGTGTTGCAGTTTCCTAGAAGCTTTTCATGAAATGTATGTTAGTCCCATACATACAATGACGTGGCAGTCAATGTATGGACGAATCGATCGCGTCGAAATTCTGAAAATGGGGCGCCAACGTGGTAAGTATATAGAAGTCCAAGTTCCTTGGATACGTCGCGAGAAACACCCACATAAGTTATACGTGACGATTCACATGTTTCGTGTCGTGAACACGTGACGATGAGAGTAAGCGAACACGCAGGCGGATATATGTATGTACGTTACATTGTTCGAAAACGACGGGGCGTATATAAACGAACTTTTCTGTATAGTACGTTTCACGTCACGGGACAAATGGCAATTAATTCACGCGGCCTGCCTACGTGCCTACGCACTTATACATACGTGTACGTCTCTCGCGACTTTTCCGCGAGAAGAAAGTTATTAACGAGAAATAAAAAAACGCAAAAAATAAACGAAAAAGATTCATTTACAAAAAACATCGCGCTTTCCTTTTTTTGTAACTCGGCGATCTTAGTAGATACCATTATATCTTAGATTCCGTTTTTTTTTTTTTTTTTAACAAGAGCTTATATTCGTGAATAATTTAATTACGGTTTTGTTGATAAATATTCCCCTTGAAATCACAAACGTGATTCTTCCAGCGCGGAATCGATGAGAGCTATATCACGTTTATAAAAAGAGAAAAGTGTGGATTTAACAGCAATCTATAATATATGTATAATTTTCACTGTTGGTATTAATATGTATAAATCAATACAATGTATATTTAATTAACACATGGGTTTTAAATTCACACCATGCGTATGACGGTGTTGACGTAAACCAGAGGTTATAAATTTACTCATATCGTGTTAATGTTAACATTAACACAATGAGATTTATACAGGCACATGATGATAACTTCACTCCGATATTTTTTACAATATGGTTATTATTATGATATTATTATGATCGATTTGTGCTAGAAAAATGAAGACGGATTTAAACCGGTTTAAATGTTTCGCGTTTTAAGTTTAAGTAAAAGTACCTACACGGAGCCATGAAAGAGAGAGTCGCGGAAAATGATGTTGGAATATGGAAATTTTAACACGGAGCCAGATGGTAATCCGGGTGTAAAATTACCTCTGTAGCTCTCAGAGATCTGATCGCAGAGTATGGTATCATCACGAACTCAGTTATCAAGATAACGATCTCAATTAGGGATGATCGTCATTTTTCTACATCCGTGCGAAATACCTAGGAAAAAGACAAGGAACGATAATCATTCTGACAGAGCGCCGTAAAATCGCTTAGCTACGATTTCTTATCTCGAAGCTCCATTTCTCTCGGGATAACGCGTTTCCTTAACTGGTTTCAACAACTTGGCGCGATTTTAATGCCATTATTTTCATTTCCCGCAAATTTCTAATCGATAAATTGATACGAAGTACCGGTCTACCGGTAACGTTTTCATTTTATATGCGGAGAGATTATTTCGAGCCCGATAAGCGAGTAAACATTGAGCAATACGTGTTTACAAAGCTAGATGTAACT